CATCGATGTGGACGTGACTGTTTTTTAATCGAGTGAAGTATTCATTTGCACGGCAAACTGTTACAAACGTTTAATTCGCTTCGAAAAAATTTCTAATAACCTCTGTAATTTACCAAAAGTAATGAAGAAAGACTACGAGAATGGGGGATTCAGAGTAAGAACTAAACGGTTACGAAAGAAAACGACGACATAGCTCGCAGGTCAAATCGACCCGAGCACATCTGTTAAATCGCTTCCAGAATCAGCTCCAAGCGTTGGAACCAGTGCTGCGAAGTCGCTGAAGTTCCTAGCTCCTACTACTTGTACTTCTTATTTTGCTCCAGCAGACCCTGTTCATGGATTAGCAGACGAGTCACTCGAAAATGTTAGTTTCTTCGTTTCTCCTCCACCTCTGTCTCTTTTTTTAACATCGACTCCTGTTGCAAAGGATAACGCACCTTCTAGAAGTAGCAACGCCGCTACTTTTACTTCAGACCGCTTTCATACATGGCTGCCGATTATAATTCTTTTATATGCATTTAAATTAGCCTTACTAACCTCGTTTGAGAGTTAAAGTTCTTTTAAATTATCAACTTAAAAAAGGAGGTTAGTAGGTACAACAGCTGCCATGGATGTGCAAAACTCTAAAAGATTTAATGGATTGAAATTAGGGTTTCTGAAAACTGCTCAGCCTAACAGTTTTTCAAAATTTAACTTTCCAAAATAATGCTCAGGGGGGGGGCATAATTGTCTGATTTTGTACTACATGATTTCTTTGCTTACTTCAAGTTCCATAGTGATTGAGGGTGAGTACTCAGAAAAATAAAACAATGAATTGGAATGCCATGAGACAGCCCCTTTGGTAATAGTCTCCTGATTATGTGATGTTATTAAGCCTTTGTAAGTTGTTGTTAGTTCATAAATTCAAAAGTTGTAGATGGATTCACTATGTAATTACAAGTTCATAATCCTAGCTAACAACCTGTATTCTCAAGTAGGTCAGGGAGCAGGAGTGCTCAGGGGAAGCAATAATATCATATTTACCCTCCCAAATAAAGTAATTGCATTGTATGAATACAGCTGTTTCGACAAAGGTTGTCCAAAGAAAGCGTGAAAGCGTACGCGACAATGCCGAAAGGTAGTCTGGGAAACATCCAATAAATCTCACTAAAACCTCAGAACAATGCCTCGACCGTACAGCGAAGACTTGAGATGGCTGGCAATATGGATGAAAGAGTGTTTAGGATACAACGTTGACGGGGTAGCGGCTGCTTTTTACATGTCGCCGAAAACCATTCTTCGCTACGTATCAAAATGCTTAAATTCTGGTGAAGTGAAAGCAGAGACTTTGGGACGACCGTTAAATAGTTTTCTCATGCATCCGCACGTGGAGTATGTAATAATGGAAGCGGTACTTGACCACCCGGAAAAAACCCTCTCAGAAATTGCACAGAATATCTACGAACAGACGGGGTTAGAACGTGCTCTTTCGGGCATATTGCTGTATTTGAAACGGAACCGTTTCAGCCGAAAAAAGGTTTATCAAATATTTCTTGTCAGTGCTGCTTTTGATTTTCCTTGCTTATGTAAATTTAAGAAAAAAATATGTTTGATTATTATTATTATTATTATTATTATTATTGTCATAATCACTCATTTTAAAGCTGACAACAATTGCCCTTCAAAGATCTGAAGCAGACAGAGTACTTTTTAGGTCTGATGTTTGTCTCCTGGCTCCCGAGATGTTGACGTTCTTGGATGAAAGCGTATTTGTATGTGTGTGTTTGTTGTCTAACACAACATTTCGTTCTCTGTTTTGCTATTATTTAGCCCTGATCGTTTAGTGGTCTCACTGTGTTTTTGTTTTTTTATTTTTATTTTATCAGGACAAAAGACTTAAACGTACAAATGGTTATAGCCAGATAGGTAAAAGAGCTGAGGTGAAACGTATGGCGCAGAACTGGGGACCGCGCATAACCGCCATTCCTATTATTTATACAGAAGGAATGATTGATCTTGGCCTTTATCAGGGGAACGTCAATAGAGCAACATTTTAAGTCTTTGTGGATGAAAAACTATGCCCGAACTTGCTTCCATTTAAAGGAATCAACCCGTGATTAGTGGTCATAATGGGTACATGACAATCTTTGGCAACATTAAGATTTTGATCGAACTGTAAAATAACTGTTTCCACCCTTATTCAAATTCTCTGTTAAAAACATCACTATAAATAGCCCACCCCCATAAATTAATTTCTCCCCTCTTATTCGTCTTTTAGATAATGTGACTATCCACCACGCGCAAGCAGCGATTGACGCAATTAATGCAACGGGAGCGATTGTTCTTTTTCTTCCGCCCTACAGCCCTGATTTCATGCCGTGTGAGGGACTTTTTGCACAAGTAAAAAGCTGGATCAGGGAAAACGATGTATAGCCTGGAAATTTTGCATGGATCCAGAATTTATGGTTTAAGAAGCGTTTCTTCAAGTCACAGATGAAGAAATCAAAAACTATATTCGACATGCAGAGTATTTTTAATGACTTTTTTTACAACAGTTACTATTCACGTAAATTATGTATCTTTCTTCAATTACAAAGAGCTAAGTTCTGTCAACAGCTTGTCCTTCTTTGAGGCAAACTCGTTTTCGTCAAGAACACCATCGTCTTTCAAACTCTTGAAGTCCTTTAACTGCTGAAGGATGGGACTACAGATAGGTGCCTAAACCAAAAATGAATTAGCTGATTAATTAAAACTGAATACATGCAGGCACAAAAAAATCCATCTGTGGGATAAATGTTAAGACGCCTACCTTTTTTTCAATGTCCGTAGAATTCCCGCTGACTTCATTACTGGATGGTTGGGTGTGTTTGACCGAACCTCTCGCCTTCCCAACAAAAAATGGCACGTCCGGAGAGTTGTCTTAATCGTCGTCGTGGGTTCCGTTTACCTGAAACAAAAAACAAGACCAATACCTGCATTTTAATTGCCGCACTAATGAGCCCCAAGTGTTATGAGCAGCAGTTAATAAATTGAGGTTTGCTTCAAAAGTCGTAAAATAGTAAGTACAGTAGGTGTCAAGCACTGTTTTCAGGAAAATCAGAGATAAGTGATACGGAGGGGAAAAAATGCAATTACTTTTTATTATATCATATTTGCTTCCCGATTGTCAAACGCTTTGTTTCAGTGCACGATAATGCGTGCGTTACTCCACGTGCAGCTCGTGCTATTTTTATGCGTTCGTCCAAAATTTATATGAATAGCTGTCACATTTCTTCAAATCCAACTTTTAAAAATAATATTTCAACAACGGTACAAAATTAAAATGGTGTATTCTAATAATGGAGACTAAATTCGCCTCAGCTGATTGGAAGTGATCTGCGGGAAATTTAAATTTTACTCACCATCATTCGTGCCCAGCATCGTAACTTGAATTCTGGAAGCTTGTGTTGTTTTCGCAGTCTCAATAAGCAAGCGTCATAGCTACTTTCTCTTTTTTCGTCACCATATTCTTCACTTTCACTCAGCGCAATATTGCAGTTGGGTTTAGCTAATATTAGAAAATGATAATGACAGTAAAAAAAAAAAAAAGAAAACCCTGAATGTTGAGCTTCAAGTGCGGCAGAACGTAGCTTGTTTTATAGAGTTTTTAACAATACCCTTCCTCTTTTTTCCTGGAGGAACTCTTGAAGGGTCTTTAACCAACAAGGTTACGATGCCGTTCTTTGCCAAGGATAACGCCTCAGCAAGCTGGATCTCTGATGATATGGAGTACTTTTTCTTTCCGTCGGCGTAGTACCCAATTTGGAATGTTGTGTCGGACGCGGGAGCGCTTTCCGTTGTCCAGTTCTCGAGGAGGTATTGCTTTAAAGTGAACATATTTTCACATAAGGGCACGCATTTTACTGAATAGGTGTCTTACCTACTCTTGTTTGTTTCTTTTAACACACGCAGACAGATATTCATAATTCCACCATCCACTGCGCTGAAAACTCGTGAACTTGAGGATGAAACAGTGATCTACCGCAACCCATAATGCCTTTCGGTATTGTCGCGTAAGCTTTAACACTTTTATTGGACAACCTTTCTCAAAACAGCTGTATACTGCATACTTAAAATCCTGAGTTGTTTAAATGAAAGATGCTTTGTATCTGTCTAAAATTCCCCCTGCATAACATGTACCCCCTTATCCCTGGCTGCCTTTGATCATTGGTGTTTATAGTTGTTACTACATAGGTCATGTCACTGAAAAAATACCCTCAGTGTCGACTAAACTTTATTGTAGAAATATCTGTTTCTAGACATATCAATGTAGTTTTTTTCTACATTAATACTTGTTCTAAATCTTTCTGCTTAGGTTGCTATCTTTGAAAGTGAGAAATCATGTTGCATGTCTGAGCTGACTTACAGGTTACCTACAAAAAAATTTAATTAATAATTCATCGTCGACTGCAATTGCGCACAACTTTTTCCGATAAACGTCGCTTGTTAACATTTTTGTCCATCGTACGATTTTCAAACAAGCCTCTGCACTTCCATAAATGACTGAAAAGATACCTTTCTCAACTGCATTCGCGTTTCCTTCCTCGATGTCACTGAGGTTGATGGCAGAGATTTCAAGATTTTTTAACTTTTGTACCTGATCTTTCATAAGACTTACGAGAGGTGAATGACAACAACAATATGGCCTCCTCTATGCACGGCGTCGAAAACCAACGGAAACGCTTGATAAATTAAGGATTTTCCAAATCCAGTGGGTAGATTAATGAAAACATTTCTCTGCTTATCTACAAATTGGATTATTGCTTCTTTCTGAAGGGCATTTAACTCCCGAATACAAAATTTCTGAGACACAAGATTGAAGACCGCACAGATGTCCGCCAGATCTACCCACAAAATAAAGTTTGTGGGTAGATTTTTCGAAAAATAGCATACGGCCTGTGATTGGCCAGTTCGCCTGAACGGAAGTAGCTACGGGTTGAAGCAGACGTTCGTGGGGGAGGAATGATTGCGTGACGATGCCTAAGAACGTCTGCGCAGGAGGCTATAAAAGACACCATTTGTCGCAATTTATCCTGCTTCGCTAACTATCAACATGACAAAATACGACAAGCAAGGTGTTCCTAATCTAAGTTTTCATAATCCGATGGGAATAACCCTTTACCCAGAAGGTTTATACTCGTACGCGATGGGAAACACACCAGCCCGAGATATCACGGAGCTGTTGGGCACATCGAAAGAACAACATGTAGACGTGTTACTTTTAGCATGCGGTGATGTTAGGAGTTTCCTTTACAGTTTGTCTGAGCTATCTCTAAGAAAACCACACGAGCGTCCGAAGAGTTTAAGTTTCCATTTGAATGACTATGATCCGTCAGTGATAGCTCGCAATGCTGTGCTCCTAGAAGTCGCTAGTGTGATAAATTCCGATGTCCCTGCTGATGTAGACTTCTTGTGGAATATTTGGTATAACCTAGCACTCTCAGTGGCCGACTTTGATCGACTGCGAAAAGTACTCAGTGAACTGTTGGAGAAGAATTTTGACAGCGACGAAAATATCTTAAAGTTTCAGGAAGGCGACGTTCTCCGCGAATGTCCAGATATATGGAAAGACTGGAGAGATCTCGATCTCGAGGTGAAAAGTGTTAAAGAGGAAAGAAACAACCTGATAGAGGACGCTAAAAGAAGTAAAGGGTTTTGTGAGGATTCTCAGTGCCTTTCTCTACTAACTCATATGGTGATGGAGATCTATGAAGAGGAACTAGACAATTTTGTGAAACCTGCTGCGACAAATCCACTCTACACGGAAATACAACACTGGTTTAGAGAAGGCTCCACGAATGATGAGTCGGAGAAAACAAATCCAACATTGATTCGTCCATTCGTTCACAAGTGGAGGCAGCATTATAGTTCCCGTGCGTTTGTGGGTTATCCACCACTCGAAAGGTAACTAACAATAGGGCTTCTGTCTCTCATTTATTT